CCAAGTCCGTGCAGGTCTCTGCTCTGTTATATCAAGGGTTACATAGATGAAATCTGTTCTCAACTGGCTGCTAAAGCACCAGTCATCACATCCATCTTCTAAGCATCAATAAAAAGGAAAGTAAGAGAAGCAGTTGTTCTCTTCTATCTTTTCAAGAATTATTCTTACAAGTTCCACACAATATTTTCACTAACTACAAAGGAGCTTGTAGATGTGCCCAGCTGAAAACTGGGGCCTATTAATTGAGGGTGTTGAGTAGAATGGCTATTGGTAAGGAAATAACTGTCTCTGCCAGACATTGGAAGGGACATTACCTCATCAATTATAAGCCTTGGTGTGAATGAGTCCATCAGCTCCTTTTTGAAAGCAAGATTTCATAGGTAAGACAGACTGTGAGCATACAAGAATACTAGGCTGGAGAGTGGAGGCTACTGAATGGGGTGGGTGAAGAATATTGAAGATGAACCTCCTCTCTTTTAGAATCTTGCCAGAGCCACGATCAGCCCCACCTCCATCTTTCTTATTTATATTTTTGTTCATTTAAAGAATTTGAATTCCATACTAATAGAGAAGGGGTCATATCATGTATCCACTATATTTCTTTTGTTTCAAAGGACTAGTTTTTTTTCATATTTTAAGTTCTAGGGTACATGTGCACAACGTGCAGTTTTGATACATAGGTATATATGTGCCATGTTGGTTTGCTGCACCCATTAACTCGTCATTTGCATTAGGTATTTCTCCTAATGCTATCCCTCCCTATGCCCCTCACCCCACGACAGGTCCCCATGTGTGATGTTCCCCGCACTGTGTCCAAGTGTTCTCATTGTTCAGTTCCCACTTATGAGTGAGAACATGCAGTGTTTGGTTGTCTGTCCTTGTGACAGTTTGCTCAGAATGATGGTTTCCAGCTTTATCCATGTCCCTGCAAAGGACAGGAACTCATCCTCAAAGGACTAACTTATTTTTTAAAAGATATGATCACACTTTTGATTGTGTTCTGTTCCCTCTCTGTTGGAGAGACACCTTCTAATGCCAAGATGGTTTTTGGATTTCCACGGTTATTACATTCATCTTTGTGTGTTTGTCTCTCCCTTCCCATGAACCCTGAAGAGAATGGAAAAATGGCATCATGTTGATAAAAAGTGATGCCTTCCAAGACATTCTTTAAATGTCCTATGTGCAGATATGGTCAAAACGAATAATCCAGGCCAACTGAGTGAACATTCTCCAGAGATGCTTGAGGTAAAACTGTCTGGCTTTGCAAAGTGATTCTCTTTATAAACCAGCAACATTGCTTTATGATGTTTTGGGTGACAGGCCAATTTCTTAGGTGATTTAAGTATATATATTTAGTATTTTCCAGTACTTTTGCTTTTAGAGCTAACTTATAAAGGGAGAGCAACCAACACTGCTGTGCCGTGGCATGTTGCCTTTGCACAGTCACTGGTGGAAACATTATGCATTTCTCCATAAGACACCTCCGTTCCCAAAAATTTCACTGGCTTCCAGCTACCTCATCTTTCATATTTTGATACCTTTAGTCACAATAAGGAAAAAATATCAGGAGAACGTTGGAGGAGGAAAGGGATGGTAGAAAAAGAAAAGCTGAAGATTCAAATGGACGTTTTGTGATGTTTCATCGTGTTTGCTGCAGAGAAAATATTTGCAGTGCACAAATGTTCGTGTGTGGTAAGATCTATCCCTAATCAAAATGGTGACATGGCTTCAAACTGAGCACTACCTGGCCTCTTGGGGCAGCCTTCACTTTTACCCTGTGCCCATGATAAAGAAAGACAAAACACATCATTCATTGGTGGTCTGCCCCATTCCCCCAACTGGTCCCTACCTCTGCTGGTTTTGTAGATTTTTCTGAAGATATTGGTGAAATTAAGACAAGACTCTGTACTGCACATCACTCAGGAAAAACTACATCTAGAAAACAACTGTATATGGGAAAAGTGATTCTTTTTTGGGGGGCGGGGGGAGTTTCACTCTTGTCAACTAGGCTGGAGTGCAGTTCCGCGATCTTGGCTCTCTGCAAACTCTGCCTCCTGGGTTCAAGTGATTCTCCTGTCTCAGTCTCCTGAGTAGCTGGGATTACAGGCACCTGCCACCACACCAGGCTAATTTTTGTATTTCTAGTAGAGACAGGGTTTCACCATGTTGGCTGGGCTGGTCTCGAACTTCTGACCTCAGCTAATCTGCCCACCTCGGCCTCCCAAAGTGCTGGGATTATAGGCGTGAGCCACTGCACCTGGCCTGGCAAAAGTGATTCTTAATGCAGAAACAGAAAACCAAATACCACACATTCTCACTTATAAGTGGGAGCTAAATGTCAAGTACATGTGGGCATAAAGATGAGAACAACAGACAGCAGTGAATGCAAGCGGGGGGAGGGCTGAAAAACTACCTATTGGGTACTATGCTTACTACCTGGGAGATAGAAGATTCATGTGTAGTCCAAACCTCAGCATTACACAATATGCCCATATACCAAACCTGCACATGTACCCCCAAACCTATAAAAAAAAGTTGAAAAAAAATGGCCCCTGTCACTTAACATTGAAAACATTGTGTTCCGTAGCCCCAGTCTCCCTCTTCTGCTTTGTCCCTCTCAGAGGCTTCTCCTCTGTGCCTTGTCTGCCCTCCTTTTCTTTGCCTCTTCTTTCTCCTAAAAGGAAGCATAACAGCTGGTGAGAGCTTAGTTACCTTTCCCTGAGGCATATGGATAGTACATTAAAACAGGGATGAAAACTAAAGGGAAGAAGCTCTGCTGGAGGAATTTAGGCAGAATGAATAATGGAAAGAGCCACATACTGGAGCCAAAGAGAGCTGGAATTGATTCACAGTTCTGTCATTTAGACATTGACAGCCTTGGGCAAATTACTTGTCTTTTCTGAGTCATTTTCGTTACTTATAAAATTGAAATAATAATACCTGCTTCATAATTATTTAACAATTAATTAAAATTATGTTTACAAAAACATCAGTGCCATATCTGGCACATAATTGGTATTCAATAAATATTACCTCTCTTACCTTATCAAAAGGGAGATGGAGGGGTTGTTATGGAAAGTCATGGAGATTTCTCAGTATTCTAATCTGCTAGGAACAGAATTGACTCGTGTGTGTGTGTGTGTGTGTGTGTGTGTGTGTATGAGAGGGAGAAAGACAGAGAGAGAGACAGAGACAGAGGAAGAGAGACAGAGACAGAGAAAACTTAGGGGAAGGAGGCTTATTTGATTGCATTGATTTTTCTAATCTGCCTTCTTAAATCATATTAGTGTCTGCAGTTTCCTAGTATCAAGGAAAACGATAAACTAAAATTCCTCAGTGAACAGAGCCAATGAAGTAGAGTGGTTTATGGAAATAACCCATGGGCTGGATTAAAAACCTAATGAAATAATTTTACCCTATTCCTATGTTCCATAGATCTACTTTCTCTTTTAGATGGTACTAATCAAGTGATAAATTTCTCTGTTTCATTTTCTAGGCTGGCCACTCTGGGGCCAACACGTACTTTTGTCACATCTGTTAACATTACTGTCTTAAAATCTGTCAAAATAAAGAATAACTTCCTTCTCCTTGCCAGACCTGATCTGATACTCTTAAAGGCAAGGATTCAGACCTTTCTTGGCACCTAAGTCAGGAGCTGGGCACAGAGATCACAGCTCTTTTTGTTCTTTATCAAGTCCAGTGCTCGGGGTTTCCATATTCCCAGGACTGCTGGCCTTGCACTGCCCAAACTGAAGTGTTTGCAGTGATGTGCAGGATCCAGCTTCACACCAGGGCTGCTCCTTCTGTGGTTAAGAACGGATGCTTTAGAGTTTATCACCCTGATCTGGGTCATCCTTCAGGAAATGAAAAAGGTCCTGAGGCTTCTGAAAAGAATCGTTTTGGGGAGCCAGATTATAAACCCACGGTAAAATTTACTCATGACTTTTCCCAATATAAAAATTTAGGATTCTTCCCATAAATGGATATCTAAGCTGCCACTTCTTCTGGTGGGGATTCTTGGGGAATCCAGTGCCTTTGTTTTATATTTTAAAAATATTTTGAAGTCATATATTTATAAAACAAGAAAGTAGGTATGATACCTTTAAGAAAAAAGAGCCTCAAGCAGCACCTGTGTATCATCTTTCCATGAAAGATCTGCAGATATCTCACCAGGATGGGTGCCAGCCTAGGCTGTACTCTGCTGGAGAATTATAGCTCCACTTATTAATACTCTATTCCCATAATAAACAAAAGTGAATACATGATGTGTCACAAGAAGTTTATGTCCCTCTGAGGGCTATCCTGATAATCCTCTTAAGATTCATTCTTGAATTACTTCTTCTGCAAGAGTTCTTAATTTCAGGTCCATGGACACTCAAGAAGTCTGTGACACAACTTTATCTCAATTAAAATGTATATCACAACTAGAAACAGTTGACAAATTATTTCAGTAAAATTGATTTCACCTGTGATAGCAACACTTTTAATTTTTTGCTTGTAAACATATTACACAGAATTGTCAGAGGAATCCATGTCACTAACAAGTTAAGGATCTCTGACGTAGTGGAAGTTTCTGTGGGGCCCAGGGGGTCTTTTTGTATGACCTGCTGATTTCATTAATCTAATTTTCACAGTTTGCAGTTTTCTCTTCTATGGTCTTACCACCCTGGTCTCAGCCTCTGTAGGTTTGCCTCATCTGTATCTATGATGTGCTGTCATTGTCAAGTTAACTTTTTGGGCAGAACACTATTTTTAATACAGTGATAGTGCAATTGATGATGGAAGATTTCCTCAGGTTTATGTCAGTTTATTGACCAAATCCCATATGCTGGTTATTATGCTAGTCAAAAAGTATACAAGGTCAATATTTAAAACAAGCAAAAAAAAAAAAGAAAGAAAAACACAAAAAAACTACGGCCCTTTATCAGTTTACAGCCCAAATATGTGTGTATGTGTGTGTATACACAATAACTTCTTATGTCTCCCACACCCCTCCACAGATCTTGCAGACATCTCAACTTTAATGAGGACTTTCCAACATTCCAGACTGCTGTCCTGCAATGAAGCTCTGAGTCATGGTCTGTGGGGCTAAGGTACTGGCAACAGTGTGAACCCCAGGACAACTAACCTCACTAACCTTCACTCTAAGCAGAAGCCCAGAGTGAGTCTGGCCTGAAATCAGAGCAAGCACTACAGAAAGACATCTTTGTTAATGGAAAGAGGAAAGAAGAAAAGAATTTCCAATAAGTTACAACAAACTTTTCACCATTCTAAAGAACCCACTTTCCTTATCAACCAAGCTGGGTTTCTCTCTAGTGACTCCTATTCTAGCCTTTTGCCAGAAACAGAGAGTGTTAATCCTGGTGAAAAGATTAAGACAGACACTCAGAAAAAGAGACCTGGGACTGTGATACTATCAAAATCGTCAAGTAGAAGAATTATATCGGAAAGCCAGCTTAGCCCCCCTGTGATCCCGGCCCGCAGGCCTGGATTCCAGGTATGCTACATCTGTGGTCGAGAATTTGGGTCCCAGTCAATTGCCATTCATGAACCCCAGTGCTTGCAGAAGTGGCATATTGAAAACAGTAAGTTGCCTAAGCACTTGAGGAGGCCAGAACCCTCCAAACCACAGTCTCTGAGCGGCAGTGGGTCCTACAGTCTTCAGGCAAGTAATGAAGCTGCATTTCAGAGTGCCCAGGCTCAGCTGCTGCCCTGTGAATCCTGTGGCCGCACATTCTTGCCAGACAATCTTCTTGTTCATCAGAGAAGCTGCAAGCCAAAGGGTGAGGGTGCCAGAGCACCACAATCAAACAGTTCTGATCATCTTACTGGCCTCAAGAAAGCTTGTAGTGGAACCCCAGCCCGACCAAGGACTGTTATCTGCTACATTTGTGGTAGGGAATTTGGCACCCTGTCCCTTCCTATTCATGAGCCCAAATGCCTGGAAAAGTGGAAAATAGAAAATGACCGGCTCCCTGTGGAGCTCCACCAGCCACTCCCACGGAAGCCTCAGCCCCTTCCGACGGCACAGTCCAGCCAAGCGGGACCAAGTCAAGCTCAGCTTGTGTCCTGCCCAAATTGTAGCCTAACCTTTACCTCAGACCACCTTCTGGTACACCAGAGAAGTTGTAAAACTCAGCCTCAGGGGTCAAAAGATCAGAATTTGACCTTAAGGAGTAAAGGAGGCCTAAAAGAGTCCACTAATTCCAAGCAGCAAAGGAACAGGGCAGCACCCAGTGTAACTGATAGGGTAATTCATGCCACACAAGAGGCTTTAGGTGAACCTGGTGGCGCCCTCTGCCTGTAGGGGAACGAGAGAAAACTATCCCTAGAATCAGTCACCTCGCCCCCTAGTATTTTTTCTATCAATGCCTTACATCAGCCTCAATGCAGCCTGTTCAAGTTAACTCCCTGTGGAACTCCAGGGCCTATATCTCTCTTGGCTGAATAGATATAAGAACATCCTTGCCTGATGGGTTCATATTCCTCTTCAGTTCTGCTGTCTAAAAGGAGAAGAGATGGACTTCTTTCTTCCCTGATCCCTGATACAAATAATCCCCAGGAGACTGTAATTTGAAAATGAGTCATTAATGCTGTGTCTACATCACAGAGATATAATTCCCATTCCAACAGCCAATATTTATTGCTGGTTTATTTTAGTCATCTACCTTAGGAATTCATTTTTGGCACTGCTGGGTTATGCTGAGTTTATCTTACTAAAATAGAATCTGTGTCAAAAACCCCAAATGACTTTAGCAACAATTAAACACTGAAGAACTTGCAAAAATACACATAGTCTGTAAATACAGCATATTTTTTCTTTTGACACTTATATGGTTGTAGTAAGTAGGAAATTAACCCCAGTGTAGACAATGAAGCAACTAGGTTATTTTTTGGGAGGTGCTTGGTTCCTGCTGCTGCTCTGTGCCCTGTGTTCAGGCTGACGACAAGGCCCTGACCCCCCACGTGGGCCATTGTGAACAAGCATGACCCCAGGAATCACCAGCTTGAATGGCAAAGAGTTTTTAGGGTTTTATCTAAAGTTTCATCATGGACAAGGATTGTAGAGAGATGCTTACGAGGGTGGCTACCTGCAAGATAGGGCCTGGTTCATGTTCTTTGTCCATTAAACCAGATTGTGGTTGCTTTGTCTTGTGTCAACCTTACAGAATATCAAATCATGAGAAACAGGAAGTGGTAAAGGTCTTTTTTCCATGGCTTGCTACTTGAAAAGCCCAGCCTGCAGAGATAATGAATTCTTCAGAAAACTAAGATTAGGCCGGGTGCGGTGGTTCATGCCTGTAATCCCAGCACTTTGGGAGGCCAACTCCTGAAGTCAGGAGTTCAAGATCAGCTTGACCAATATGTCTCTACTAAAAATACAAAAATTAGCTGGGCATGGTGGCGTATGACTGTAGTTCCAGCTAGTTGGGAGGCTGCAACAGGAGAATTGCTCGAACCCAGGAGTTGGAGGTTGCAGTCAGCTGAGATTATACCACTGCACTCTAGCCTGGTTACAAGCCGAACTCAGTAAAAAAAGAAAGAAAGCAAAGAAAGAAGAAAGAAAAGAGAGAAGAAGAATAGAAGAAAGAAAGTAAAAAAAAACGAAAAGAAGAAGAAAGAAAGAAGAAAGAAGGAAGGAAGGAAGGAAGGAAGGAAGGAAGGAAGGAAGGAAGGAAGGAAGGAAGGAGGGAAGGAGAGAGAGAGAGAGAGAGAGAGAAGGGAGGGAGGGAGGGAGGGAAGAAAGAGGAAAGAAAGAGAACTAAGATTACACAAGCTATTGTAAAAGGTTAAACCAAAGGAATTGGTTGGGAAAGGGGCATTCTTTGTTTCTAATTTGATTTTTCTTTCTTTTATTTTATTACTTTGAGGACTGTCTAGTCCTTTGCTCCTAAATTCTATGTTAAAATAAAATGAGTATGGTCTTGCTGGTTTAGAAGATTCCAAGACAATGATTCGAAAGCTGAAGAGTCACTCACAGCTGCTGGGCAAGTTTTCCGATGAACATTGAAGAAAAAACAGCTCGTTTCTTTGCCTAATGAAAAACCAAACTCCTCAGTGTGGCATAGTCTTCAAGCTGGTTTCATAAACATGACCTGTTTTTCCTATCTTCTGTCTGTTGCTTTTCTTCCATAACGTGTGGGGTCTGGATTCAGAGAATATAAGAATCTGTCTCAGGGTCACAAATCAGAAACTCTGTTCACTTTCTGCCTTACAGCACTGTTTCTTGATTGTATGCATTTACTTCAAATGTTCTCATTACAGATCTAGAGATAGGGAAGCGTGTGGTCAGGATTCTTGTGCTTGTTGTTATAACACATACTTTGTGCTCAAGAGTAGAGCCAACAGGCTGAGCACAGCATGTTCTCACTCAGTCATGATGGCTGCAAGTGGCTGGCTTGGGCCCCCAGCTTCCTTCCCTAGGAGACACCTTCCTGACTCACCCGGTCATCTGGAGGGGAGAATGTCAGGAGAGGCCAGCGATGGTCCTTCAGTGACTCGACTTATGCATTTAGACAAGAGTAGGGGGTGGTGGTCTAGAGGACATGGCTATGTCAGAGCACACCCAACCCTGCTCTCAGGCCTGAGAACACACATGTGAATGAGAAATTGGCCCCGACCACTGTCAGATATGTGCTGGCCTGTTTGGGGACCACACAAGATTCAGTAGAGGGCATAGAAAGGTCATCCAACATAGGGTCCCTTTGGCTGCCAGACTTAAAACAAACTTGGGTTAGTTATGAAGGAGAAAACGCTCAGGCTTCCAGGGAGCATGAGAACTTTCAAAGCAGTGGGCTTTAGTCCTTCCTTAGAGGAGACATTTACCATTCCATAGTGCTTTCAGCAGAAAGCCTTTCCTTCACTGTGTAGTTTAGTTATGATTTGATCCTGCCTATGGATATTTTTCTTTCTTTCATTTAAATTTTAGATAGTGCTATGAATTACTCATTTTCCATAAAGAACACTACTGTAATGATTATTAGATTTCAGAATTTCATCTGTCTGTGAAAGCTGACTTTTGGCAGCCTGTGACACTCATACATTCCTTCTTACAATTCAGATTTCCCTCTGGAATCCTTGGTCTCATTTCAGATTAGAATCAGCTATCTTGCCTTATGTTCTCACGGGGTTCAATCTTGTAGTGAATTCAGGTGAGAGAAATAGTTTCAGAACTATGATCATAGTAGTTGGAAAACAATTCACTCCAGTGACCCCACAGTCACTGTTTCACTGGTAGAATGAATTACCTTTCCCTCGGAATGTTTCTCCAAAATAGATTGGCTCAGGTCCCTTATGGCACAGATGCTCCTTTGATCCTTCTGTCAAATCTAAACACAAACACCGATTAGACAAGTTCTGCTCCAAGATCTCAGTGGGCATTTTGCATTGCCTTCTAGCCAATATGCTGGCTCGAATTGTCTCATTGTTTCACATCCAAAGTATAGGACTGAACTCACTCTTCCTGATCTCCCAGGAAACTTGTGTAGGACCCTAAACAGTATTTAAGAGGAATAAAACCTTCGGTGTGGATTTTTATTTAAAAGATGGAACGGTCCTGGGACTGTGTATATGTATTTCATGGTGTAATGAGCAGCATCACACTTCCTTTCTTTCCTCTAAAAAAAAAGCCTGGATGGGTAATACCCAATTTAGCAAAAATTTAAAAGTGGTGTCAATTCCAGATAAAATTGTGATTTATAATATGGATCAAACTGTATGTTAACATTTTAAATTTTAATGTCATATCTATTCAATGAGATTCTTGATGTCTATTTTAGTAAATGATTTTCTCAGCTATGCTGAGGAATATAATAATAGAAGTAATTATTCTTATTTTAATATGAATGAATAAATTTTAATAATTGCATTTAATAGTTGATAAAATTTTGTCTGTTTTTGGAAGCTGATTGTAATTCATTCTTTAGCTTTAGGCCCTTTCAAGCTAATTGGAACAGAACAGAGTTCGTTAAATATAACTATAAACCAAAATGAAACTTTTGCCTAATAAGTTTTTATTAGTTACGGCTTGGGGTTATTTTCCTAGGATTTCACTTGTAACCTATGAAACACTCTTCCTAAAACCTTATTCTATATTGCAAAATATGTATTATTTTTCTTAAGGGGGAACTATCTTTTCTATAATGATTGTGTCTCTGAACACAGTTTTAAGCTACTTTCAGCATCCTCAATGCTCAGGTTTGAGCTAAAGCCCCATCAGACACATCTCCAGCATCTGGTGCTGCCATCTGGTGTTTTCTTTTAAAGTAATGTCTTCTGCGCTATCAAATCATATTATTGACATTTTCCTCCTCGTGTTATCCCCAAATGTATTGGAGAAGGTGCCCTTATTAGATAGACTCCAGTTATTTAGTGCTAGAGTTACATATTTGATTTAAAGCTACAAATGTTCTTCTCTGGGTAAGTATCTTATTCTTTACAGGCAAAACTCACAGTAGGAAGAGCATAATCAGAAAAATCCAGGAGGGCGGGATAGATATTCTCATATTTTCAAATTCTGTATGTGTGCATGTGTATCTATTGGGTAAGAAGAATTTGGAATTTAGGGGAAGGCGTGGAAGACAGGGAACTAACTTTTACTGAATAACTTTATGTCTTAGTCCATATGTGTTGCTATAACAAAATACCAAAGACTGGGTAATTTACAAAGAACAGAAATTTATATTTCATGGTTCTGGAGGCTGGGAAGTCCAAAATCAAGGTACCAGCAGGATTTTTATGAACTTGTGAGGAATGCTCTACTTCCAAGATGGTAATTAGTTGCTAGATCCTCTAGAGGGGCGAAATGCTGTGGTGGAAGGGATGGAAATGCGAGAAGGGTGTTCTCTCTTCTAACCTTGAGCCCTTTTATATGGGTGTTAAGCCCATTCACAAAGGTGGTGTCCCCACAACTTAATCACCTCACAAAGGCCACACCTCTTAACATTGTTGCACTGGGAAATATGATCCACTGTGAATTTTGGAGGAGACACCACCATTGAAACTGCAGCACTTTATGATTAGCACTTTATATACATGATGTCATTTTAATTCTCATTATATTACTATCAGATAAACATTATTTTCTGACGTTCTAGGTTGGAAGACTGTGGTTAAGCAACTTGCTTAAAGTCATACACTGGATTTGCAAGTGGCTGTCACAGCCATTCTGTCTAATTCCACAGATTCATATATTTTCATGTCACTATAAAAGGGGCATAGAAGTGATATAAAAAATGAGTATTGCTACCCTGCCAACCTGTGAGTGTTAGGAAAAAGAGGACAGAATTCCATTCATTCACTAATACTTATCATTAGTCCTTGGACTAAGTACTAAATATAGAGTCATAAAAATATAGGCATAGTTCTTGACCTCATGGAGTTTTTAGTCCTATTGAGGAAATTGTATGGAATTTTAAAAAAATATACAATTTAAAATTGTGTTATGACGGTGTGGAATGGTGGAAGACAGACATTCAGGATCTTGGCTAGAGAAAATCTATGGGGGGAAGATATTTCAGCTAAGACATAAAAGGTGTGAAAGCACTAGCCAAGAGGAAACATGTGGAGGAAGGGAATGGTTAGAGAAAAAGACATTCGGATAAAGGGCAGCATGTATGAAGGTTCTAAGGTAAGGAAGATCTTATAATGAAATGAAAGAGTGCACATGTGGCCAGGGCCTAATACAAGAGGGAACAGGCACATGGATGAGGCTGAAGAGGTAGCATAGTTTCCTCCAGCTGCTCTGTGGACACAGGGACATCAGTTGTTTGGTTACTGCAGGAACCCAGGT